CCGATGTTGGAATGCGTAGACTCTGCAGTTTCGTGACATGAGTGCGGTTCGCCGATGTTGGAATGCGTAGTCTCTGCAGACTGGTGACATGAGTGTGGTTTGCCCATGTTGGAATGCGTAGGGCGTAGACTCTCTGACATGAGTGTGGTTCGCCTATGTTGGAATGCGTAGATTCTGCAGTTTCGTGACATGAGTGCGGTTCGCCGATGTTGGAATGCGTAGATTCTGCAGTTTCGTGACATGAGTGCGGTTCGCCGATGTTGGAATGCGTAGTCTCTGCAGACTGGTGACATGAGTGTGGTTTGCCTATGTTGGAATGCGTAGGGCGTAGAGGCGTAGACTCTCTGACATGAGTGTGGTTCGCCTATGTTGGAATGCGTAGATTCTGCAGTTTCGTGACATGAGTGCGGTTCGCCGATGTTGGAATGCGTAGATTCTGCAGTTTCGTGACATGAGTGCGGTTTGCCGATGTCGGAATGCGTAGACTCTGCATTTTCGTGACATGAGTGCGGTTCGCCGATGTTGGAATGCGTAGTCTCTGCAGACTGGTGACATGAGTGTGGTTTGCCTATGTTGGAATGCGTAGGGCGTAGAGTCTCTGACATGAGTGTGGTTCGCCTATGTTGGAATGCGTAGATTCTGCAGTTTCGTGACATGAGTGCGGTTCGCCGATGTTGGAATGCGTAGATTCTGCAGTTTCGTGACGTGAGTGCGGTTCGCCGATGTTGGAATGCGTAGACTCTGCAGATTTGCGACATGAGTGCGGTTTGCTTATGTTGGAATGCGTAGACTCTCTGACATGAGTGTGGTTCGTCTATGTTGGAACGCATAGACTCTGCAGTTTCGTAGACTTTCTGCAGTTGCAAAGAAGAGTCTGTTTGCCAGTGCTGCTGCAAGTGTATTGCAAGGGATGTGCAAGGAACGCGCAAGTGATGTGCAAAGGATGTGCAAGGGTTATGCAAGTGATCTGCTGGCAGCATGTGTTGTGAATATTTGCAGACACTGTTTTGATTCATGTCCTCAAGGCACTCTCCAGGTCTAAAAAGACTTGTAACGTACAGGTAGCTTCAAATTATGTCGGTGTCCAGCTTTGAGAGCGATGCTGTCTCTGTATCGGACGTGCACTCGTCCGACTTCTCGTCAGACTTTGCAGTGTCGGACCAAGAACATGATCGACGTGCAGCTTTGGTATCAGGTGTTACCGCGGTCAGTGATCCGGATTCCGCTGATTTCGCCTTTGATCATGAGAGCTCAAATGTGTCATCGTTCCTTGGCCGACAGTCTCCGTCAATGTCCCCTGGTCGATCAGTTCAGTTTCCAAAGTCGAACCGCTCCGCTGCAGAACACACCTACATGTCGAAGATTGTCCCGCCGCGGAAACGCAAGCTTCGTATGATTGATGAAGGTTCTGATGGCGCGCGTATCAAGATTCGTCCTGCACCTAGAGCCCAATTTCGTCGCAGAATGGAAGGCACGAGAGTGCTTGGTGACGACTTCTTCATCCACAACAGAGCCCAGTTCATTCTCGATTTCCTGAGACAACACGGGGAGCGCATTGCTAAAGAAAAGCATGGCCCTAGGAAGCGTTTTTCCTCTACTTTGAAACTTGTGCAGTACGTCTTAGACCGAAAGTGAGAGAGCGTTGACGGTTTGAAAAGAGTCCACCAATGCTTTGTGTCAACCGAAGTGATTAGCAAGGGAAGAGTAAGCGGATTGCAAGTGATGTGCAAGGGACGGTCGAGGTATGTGCAAGTGCTGTGCAGGAAATGTGCGGAGAGACATGTCAGGGATGTGCAAGGCTGCGCCTTTGGGAGTTGCTTTCATCAGACATGGAATAGAGTTTTGTTTCAAGCAGTCTGGAAGTTTTGTAGATTCCGAACAACATGGATTGGGCCGCTTCTGACGTGCTCGAGAACATCTTGACGTACTTGTTGCCGATCAGAGCCAGAATCACATTCATTACTCGCCTTGATCGAAATGACGACCCAGAAGAGGCGCAACCCTTAACCGACACCTTGGTGGCCTACACGTTCTTGCAACGTGGGATACAAGAATTTCGGCTGTCCTCCTCGGTTGAGTTGACCATGGGTTTTCAGTCTTTGCATACCACCATCCGTTTTGTTCAAATCAATGCCGTGGCCTGCACCATGTTGGGCAGCCCTTCCAAGAGGTGGATGCGTGCTGTGGTAGACCTAGCACAGGAGCGTTTGCGAGTGAGTATCGTGTCATTGGCCAATGCTGCGTACCAAACTGCAACTCAGTGTTGCATGTACTTCGATTCTGATGCAGAGGAAGCCGAAGTCGAATTGCACCTAGTGTACAGACTGCGTTTTCTGAAGTTTCGTAGCCCACTCTCCTAGTTCTCCCAAGGACAAGACGTTTCGATGATAAATCGGTGAGAAAAACAGCGCGCAACGACCACCAACATTGCACGGAGCCCCTCGGGGCTTGTGTGTGTCCAACTCTGTTTCCAAGAGACGTGAGTGAGTTAAGCAGCAGGGGGCAGAGGGTCTCATTTCACGGCCTCTGCCAATGAAGCTCCGTGATATTGAGACAGGTAAACGTACCTGCAGTGGTCGGCATGGGCACATTTGTGCAGCTTGTGACCACACAACTGTCGATTGTGGGTAGGAGTGCAGTGCAGTCTCATGTGCAGTATCATGTGCAGTTACATGAGTGATTCGCGTTTGTCCTATGGTAGCACTTCAGATTGCATGTTCTGACTTCTCCTGACAGCTTCTGACTTTCCCTGACAGCTTCTGACAATATGCACTGACAGATCAGACCTGCGACACGATGTGTCAAGTGTCAAGTGTGTGGGTGTGTGGGTGTGTGGGTGTGTGGGTGTGTGGGTGTGTGGGTGTGTGGGTGTGTGGGTGTGTGGGTGTGTGGGTGTGTGGGTGTGTGGGTGTGTGGGTGTGTGGGTGTGTGGGTGTGTGGGTGTGTGGGTGTGTGGGTGTGTGGGTGTGTGGGTGTGTGGGTGTGTGGGTGTGTGGGTGTGTGGGTGTGTGGGTGTGTAGGTGTGTGGGTGTGTGGGTGTGTGTGTGTGTGTAGGTGTGTAGGTGTGGGGGTGTGTAGGTGTGTGGCTGTGGCTGTGGCTGTGTAGGTGTGGCTGTGGCTGTGGCTGTGGCTGTGGCTGCGGGTGTGGGTGTGGGTGTGGGTGTGGCTGTGGCTGTGGCTGTGGCTGCGGCTGCGGCTGTGGCTGTGGCTGTGGCTGTGGCTGTGGCTGTGGCTGTGACTGTGGCTGTGGCTGTGGCTGTGGCTGTGGCTGTGGCTGTGGCTGTGGCTGTGGCTGTGGCTGTGGCTGTGGGTGTGGCTGTGGGTGTGGGTGTGGGTGTGGGTGTGGGTGTGGGTGTGGGTGTGGGGCGGGTGGGTGGGTGGGTGGGTCGGTGCGCGTGCGTGTGCGTGCGTGCGTGCGCGTGCGGGTGGTCCGTGCATCCGCAAGAAGGACAAGATGCAAGCGACGCAGGCAAACATCCTACAACCAAAGACCCAAAGGCAGTCAATTACTGGCCTTTCTGACCGGCTTCGGAGGCTCCGGCTCCTCTCCTGGCCAGAACGGTCGCATCCCGTGCTTCATGTCCGCACTTGCTCCAACATCTACAATGATCTCCACAAAGCGGTCTGGCGGGAGTAGCAGTAGGCAGGGTACTGGCAGCAATGGCAGTGGTAGTGATAGTGTTGGTGGTGGTGCGGCTGCTGCTGCTGCTGGCACGCTGCTGATTCTGCTGCTGCTGCTGCTGATGCTGATGGTGCTGATGGTGCTGATGGTGCTCAATGGTGCTAGTGGTGCTGGTGGTGCTGGTGGTGCTGGCGGTGCTGGCAGTGGTGCTGGCGGTGGTGCGGGTGGTGGTGCTGGTGGTGGTGCTGGTGGTGGTGGTGAATTCTGTCGCCCACTAAGCACAAGTAGTGGTAGTACAGTAGTTGTAGTAGCAGGTGTTGTTGTTGTACCAACCATTACAATTCGTGTTGTGGTTTTTCGAGAAGCCGAATAAGGCTGTCCTGCGGCTTTCTCGCTTGAAGCCTCCGTGGACGACAAAGCAGAAGCTGTCGGCTCTACCTGAATCGGAAGCTTAACCCGCACATAACGCCGGAGATGCTGTGTCGGTGAGCATGACAAGCGACAAGGCTTTCTGGAAGAGGTTGCTGTCGGTCTTCTCCTGCTTTGGGGAACATCTCTGCTTCGAAGAACAGTATTCTGCTCTTAGCCGCACTGGAACAGCTACAGTATTGATTTGCGATTCCCAAAACCAAACGGTTGCTGGCTTTCAGGTGTAGTTTATGCGCTGCTGAACTGCTGAACGCCTATGGACATGGAGGGGCTTTGATCAAACAAAACATGCTAAGGCTGTCCTGGGGCAGCTGCCAAGGCAAGCGCAGTGCGTGCCGATTCTCTCGTTTGTACAGCCTCGCGGCGGCGAACTCCCCTGAACCAATGCTGCACTGTTACAGAAAACACCTCAGCTCTGCAGCTGCTGGCATAAGAAATTGCACGTGATTGCGCGTGCCTGCTCCCTGACTGCAACCATTTCGACCACCTCGGCTTGCTGCCCTTGTCTATGAAAACTTCGCAAGCGCCAGTGCCACGTTACGACAGCCGGCCACGAAAGGCTCTTAAGTGCAACTTGCAAGGGCAGGTCAAGTGACGTTACGGCGGCGGTCCACGACAAACGTGCAACTTGCAAGGACAGGTGAAATATGGTGAAGTGCACGTACGACATTACGGCTGAGGACCACATAAAGTTCATAAAGTTCATCATAAGCTCTGAAGTGCAGCTTGCAAGGACAGGTGAAGTGCACGTACGACGTTACGGCTGCCGTCCGCAAAAAGCCATTAAAATGCAACTCGCAAGGACAAATGAAGTGCACGTACGACGATACGGCTGCCGTCCGCGAGAAGCTATTAAACTGCAACTTTCAAGGACAGGTGAAGTGCATGTACGACGTTACGGCCTCTGTCCACGAAAAGCTCTTAAGCGCAACTTGCAAGGACAGGTGAATCAGGTGAAGTGCACGTACGAGGTCCAAACATCGTTCGTCAGCGCACTCAGCTGCGTGTCCAAGATAGCCTGGTCAGATCGCTTGAAACGCCCCAAAGCTTTGCGACAATTCTTACAATCAATGGTCCCACGACCTCATCCATAAGGTCTGGAACTTCTCCTTAGCACAAGGCTGTGCAACTCACAGCAAAACGACTGTCCACTAGCCCATCATACTTTAGCGAGCCCTTCCCGAAAGACTCAGAGTCTGCCTCCAAACTAAACCGGATAAATACAAGGACAGCCACGAATTCTTGCTGTCGCTCTGGCCTCGTCATCGGATCGAACTCTCCAACACAGCAGGTGTCAAAGCATTGCACTTCGGACCAGGCCGTGCACCTCACGCACCTCCTCCAGAACGTGCTTGTCCTTCTTCGCATGGAGAACACCTTGAATTCCTTCTACCTCATGGTCAACAAGGCGCACGGCACACAGGCAGTGAGAAAGCAAAAGGGCAACACGGACAATCCTTAGTCGCTCCCGTCGGAGAAGCTGAAACAATTATGAGGCCTCACAAAATCTGCCGTGTTGCCAGGCGGACGCCTTCTTCTTCACCCAGCTTGCCCAAACGCTGCGTTACTTCCAGAATGTAGTCTGGACCTATATGCCAAACGTGATCCGGGTCGTTGGTGTAATTCAGTAGGGCCTCCACCTCTTGCTTCCACTTGTTGAATACACGATCCTTCGGAGTTTTTGGTGGCACACGCTTGGCGGTAGTTGAAAGAGCGCACAAGATCTGGACTGCATCCGCAGGTAGATAACTCTGGCCGAATTCATCCAACCAGAGGATGGAAAACTCCGAGAAGGCCTGCTACAGCACATTCATCGGATCAACATGTTGAAACTGTTCAAGTCGTCAATACCTTCTGCATTCATGTGCGAACATGTTCCCGGCGGATTGCGTGCTGCACTGCACATCCAAGAAGCCCTGCCTTGACCATAACTTGTCTCTGGACGCCGGAACCAAACCGCAGTACAGAAGCTCGGATGCCCTTGGCAAACGACACCTCAGAAATCTCGTCGTCACAGACGTGGTGGAGGGTATCGAGGAGGCCAAAAAGCAAAGAGTTGGTTCCCTATCTATCATGCAACAAGTTGCATTAGCCTCAGAGGATCGAAGTGTATGGATGCTGCTGTACTCCGTGTCAGCTTCTCACATCCACAGCACTCCGTGAAAGCCCTTGCGTTCAAGCCTCGAGCCGGCCTGCCGAAACTCCCGGCAACCCGGAAGCTTAAGCAGCCGTTCCACAGACGGCGGAGGGGGCGGGTGGCGGCCTGATCCCCCGCCTCCTGGGCTTCCTTGTCTTTCACTTGCTCCCACAACTTTCGTCTGGGTCTTGTTTCTTTTGCGAACTGTGTCTGCAACCTGCACCCACAAAAACACAGACAATCATGCACATCACGACTGCGTGCTAGCTAAGAGTACTTTACTTGGCCATGCTTCAGATGCAAGTTGCCCTGCATCTCGAAAACTGGCGAGAATCGCAGCAACGTGACGCCAAAAGGTCCGCAACGCAACTACTGGCAGTTTTACGTCGCAGTGACGATCCCATCATATCCCATCCTCCGAGAACAACGACTGTCACCCACCCCAACAGGTGGGGCAATCCCTGTAACTGTTGTCGCAGACACCCCGGGCCGAGCTCATGTGTGATCACGGCCCGTGGCCTTCGTGGGTGATTGTGGATGTGGAAACGCTTGGTCTCCTCCGGTGTTTCTGCGGGTGTGGTTACCACCTGTGTCGGTGGGTGTGGAAAGTTCTGCTGTTCCCGAAGGTTTGGCAGGCAGGAGTGGGGACCACTGCGGATTCAAGCAATCTACAGCCGCCCTTCCCCACAGTCTGACCCAGAAAAGCTTGTGGAAGCCAAAATCACCCGAGCTGGTCTATGAGACGCAAGCCGCCACGGCTCTATACACCACGCTTTCTTCATCTGGGTGGTCTCCAAACTGGCTTGACATCAGGCTGTGCGTTGAAGTCCATACACATGGAAACTCACAAAGCTTCGCATGTTCTGTTCATGAACAGAGTGTAATTTCCATGGCAAGGAACAAATCGGGCACGAAGTCCGGTTCGAGTCACGGCCTGCGCCTCACCAACGGTGACGAGCTCCACATTGGGTTTGAAAACCGACCACCTCGCAGGCATTCTGTGTGATTTACGCTGCAGTTGTTGCCTTCGCCACTACAGTCATCCCAGCAAGACGTCCAACAGGATGCAGCATGCGCAAACAGCACGCGATCTTGAGAACAAAACCAATCACACAACCCTCATCTTGAGCAGCTCTGAGACTGCACCATGAAATCATGTACTACCTTCCACCCCACGACCCCCACACACACACACATACACAACACACACACACACAACGCACTTCACTGCCAAGGTGCTGCACAACAAATTTCTCATCGTCCGACTCTTGCAGGAAGAATGCCAAGGTTCGCAAGACCGTTGACTTCACAGAGCCTGCCATCAACACCGACATTTCCAGAAGCGCCGGCACAAAAGTCAAGAGTCAAGAGCATTGTGTCACCCCACCGAGCCTACCACACGCATCAAGCAGCTCTGCTTTCGTTTCCGTTTGGATTTAGATGACGTTGGCGTTGTGGGAGACATTACAACCTGCTCTTCCTCCTCCTCGTCACTGTCTTCGTCAACTCCTGCCGTGCGGAGGAACTGCGCGGCGACGTGCAGCGCAAAGTAGCCGCAGACCATGGCAAGGAGCAAGACGAGAAAACCCGCTAAAACCCAGGTCATCTCTGCGGAGGGGTTGAAGATCAGCATCACGGCAACCATACTGAAGAGCACGAAGCGGAAACTCAACAGGCACATTTCCAGAAAATCCAGGATTTCAGCCTGGCTATTCGTGAATGGTCTGCACCACGCGCAGAGCGTCAACTGCACGCCGGACAGGAAAGGGAAGAGCAGCAGCTTTGCTTTCTCATCGTTTGCAAGGTTTGTGTAAGTGACGATGTTCATGAGGCCGATGTCCACCCGCTTGACAATGATATCCCACCACCTTAGTGCCAGATCTTCAGTCGGCCTCCACCGTGAAAGCTACGTCAATTACATCACTGAGCTGCTGGTTCAGCAAACAAATTAGCCCGGCGCCAGAAAGCTGGCTCAAAGCCCTGAATGAAGTATCCATATTTTCGGTAATTCTCCGGGCTCTGCCGGTCATCCAGGCAGTATAGGCGGATGAAAAGCAGGACAGGCACGCCCAGGCACCACACGCCAAGGCCAATGCAAGCAATCAATGCTAGCAGGAAATGGTCCTCACCCCAACAGACCACTTCGGGATGAGAGCGCAATCGCTGCTGCATCAGTTGAAGGCCTGTCGATGGATCATCGACGGAAATTGCTCGGCATCTGATCATCTGCAAGAAGCTGGAGAGCAGCTCGGGCCACCTAATTTCCCAAAGGCTATGAGCCTGCAAGAAACAGCCCTGTTTCAGCATAACTATGTACTGAATCCGAAACAAAACTGCCAACTGCAGATCCAGAGACATGCCAATAAGCGTCACCCAGAAAACTGGGACGCACTGAAAGAAAAGACTCCCGGGTCTCGGAAACGAGGTGAACAGGCCGAAGTCCAAGGATTCCTGAGCGGAGTGATCACGTCAAGCAGAAGACCTGCCCGAGACCCGACGCGTAAGAGACCGAAGCCAGCGTAACATCTAGAAAGCAAAGAAAATACTAATGATCGTAGACATTCTGCCGTTGGGGAGAGCGGACGAGGGTCGCCAAGCTGTGTGTTGTTTACTTGTTTTGTGTTCGTTGGTCCGGCTGTTTTGTTTGCTCCAATGGGTAGAACAAGAACGGCGGACCCCCTCCAAAGAAAAAGCAAGCCTCCGTAGCGATGGTGTATGTTCTTTTGTCGAGTTCTTGCTCTTCACTCGTTTCCTGGGTGTCGTGATCATGTTTCACTTGTTGTCTACATGTTGTTTCCTGTCTGCGTTAATCTTTCCAAGATATCCCAGAGGTTACCGTGTTCTATTTCCTAACCGTGAGCTTCAAGCGCCCAGATTTGTGTTAGGAGCAGTCTTTGCTTCGCGACAAGACTCGGGATCGATCCCGTTAAAGCCCTCGTCTTCATCCCCAAGATGGAGCATCTTCATAATCTTGGAGTTGGACTTCATAAGAGCCGTTGTCAAGCGGGAGGTGCTCTGATGTAACTCATCGTCATCCTGATCGCGCCGTCCCTGCCTTCCAAGCACGACAAGGTCCCTTCTCAGTAGATCTTGCAGGAGGGGGAGACCTATTTGCCCAGTGCGGCACCTCAGATCCCTGCAGACAGCGCGTACCAAAGAGGAGAAACGCCTCCAATCGGCCTCGCAAGCTCTCTCTGCGGCAGGTGCTGCGAATTGGAGCGTGAGTTGGAGATAACTCAGCAGTGCTGAGTGAACCGACTTCCATCTTCTTCATCTCGGAAAGACTGCCACATCTGACGGCAACCTTAAATCCGCGCTAAGGGACTAGTGCCAGCATGGTACAGTCCCAGGGTGAGGGGTTTCTGCGCCCGGACCCTGCGGAGATGCGGAGGGGGGCAGGCCATATGGCACGAAACGGCACCGCACAGCACCGCACCGCACAGCTCAGCACCGAAAGAGCACAGCAAAGCATAGTGTGGCTTTGGCAGCACAACCCCTCAACCTGCGGCGTCGACTTCGAGTCACGGCACTTCGATCACGACATCCTCGAGGGGAACCTCTTGCTCTGTGGCCTCGTCCTGGAACTTGTGGCGAAGCTTCCATGCCCGAGTGCGAAAAACCTGGCCGTGGGACAACGGGGATCCGATCTGATCTGGTGGTGCCAATGCGTTGACGATTGCGCTTCGCTAATGGAACAGTGACTTCCTGGCAAAGACAGGAATAGATGCTTGCAACGACACTTGAAGCTGCACGTCGTTTCGTCGTTTGAGTGTTCCCTTCTCGATGACTCAGATTCCAAGCCCAACTTGGTATATCCCTTGGAGGCACATGTAAAATCAGCTGGGCCACACAAGTCTCCAGCATACTGGGTGGCATCCTGGGCTGAAAGTCTCAGAGCGCTCCACTAGCAACCAGCCCTGAATCGGTAAATGCAAACAGCTTGGGCAAACTCGTTAGCGACGGTGATTTCGAGAAATGTTCAGTGCGATGCAATGCTGCACCAAGCCACCTCTCAGCAACTGCATGCTGCAAGCCTGGATGACACGACATCATGTGGAGGCATGACGGATTGCATGACGGGTTGTTTGTCGAAGGAGCTATCCAGCTTGGCTCTGGCCGAGCAGCTTTCCGCCCTGACTCCCTTTATGAGGAGGTCTGGATTTTCGGTAAAGTCGTGCCATTCCAAATTGGCCTCTTCGCAGAGCGTGTCCTTATCGTGCAGACAGCAGGCTGCTCACGCCGACTTGCTTCTGCAGTGCCCTACAGGTCCGACAGTCTAGTATTCAGCTCCGGTGACAAAAAATGGATCTTGGCGTGCTGCATGCAGACCTGAATCCGGCTATGAGAATATATGAGCATCCACCTGCTGTGCAGGGTGCCTACAACCGAAGTTGAGCATTTAGGCTCTTGCACATCTTCAAAGCCAAGATTGGGTAGGAGGCCAACTTGCCTGCCAGGAGCTGTGCACGAGCAACTTCATGACTGACTGAACCGGCTGCCGGCTCCTTCGATAAACGCAACAGGGTCTTCGACATCATCGTGCAGCCCGCCGGTTGTCTCCGCGTCAAGCACGCCTGACTCCTACAGGGAACGGCGAGACTGGAGGGATTAAGACCTACTTCTCACACAGGTCCTGCACATCACGCCAGGTCAGGCCCCTCTCCGCCAAGGGTTTGTCAAGCGCCTTCCTTAAAGCCTTGAGGGCCGCTTCTCGCTTTCGGGTTTTCCGACCGGAATCATTCATTTCAAGCCCAAACTTCCGCAAGATGGGCAGCACAATGTAGACCATCCCGGCGCAGATCAAGAAGACCCCAAGCATCGCCAGCAAAGGGCTGCTGATGTGATAGATAGCTGGTGCAAGATTCTTCCTAGACAAGTCTCTCTCTCTCTCTCTCTCTCTCTCTCTCTCGTGAGAGAGAGAGAGAGCGAGAGAGAGAGAGAGAGAGAGAGAGAGAGAGAGAGAGAGAGAGAGAGAGGGAGAGAGAGAAAGAGGGAGAGAGAGAAAGAGGGAGAGAGAGAAAGAGGGAGAGAGAGAAAGAGGGAGGGAGAGGGAGAGAGAGGGAGAGAGAGGGAGAGAGAGGGAGAGAGAGGGAGAGCGAGGGAGAGAGAGGGAGAGAGAGAATACAAAAGCAAGCTAGGATCACCTACTTTCCTGCTTACATACTTACTTACTCTCGTACTTACATGTACACCTAAACCATGTGTGGCTGCACCGATTTGATTTTTTGCAACCTGTCTGCACAGGTCTCCTGTTTACGTATGTGTACCCACACGCAAATCGAGAAAACGGATGGTGCTGGAATTACGCCCAGGAGCGCAATCTTGTTTCCAGGAAGCATCTGTTCGGCGTGGCATTCCGCTGACATCGCCACAGTTGCCACCTTGGGCCTCAACGCGATCCGTCGGCGCTGAACACTGAAGTATCCGATTTCCTATGCTACCACAAGGCCACAAGGTTTCTGCAAGCGAGCACTGCACATGGCTGAGATCGGTACATAATCTTCATGAGCTCAAAAACACCGTCCATTGCTTGCGTCACTTCTTCCGGCCAAGGAAACTCAAGGCCCTGCGCGAAAGAACGGTGCTGAATCGAAAGAGGTACAGTACCAGAGAATCTACCACAATCAAGAAGTGGAAGAGTGCAAGAGTGCAAAGTCCCGAGTCCGGCGCCCCAGAGCCGAGTTCACAGTCTGCAACCGTGATGTTCGCTTCTGCACACGCTTGGAGCTGCTCCAGTTCCTTCTGCTTCTCCGACCAACCAAAGCCACCAACTGATCCAAGGTCGAACTGCGTCAGCACCGAGCCTGAGATTCTAGATGCATGAAGGCAGAGATATGAGGCGTTTTAGTATGCGGAAGTGCCAAGAGGACGCGCAAAGACGGTGGAGTGAGGCACTTCGCGATCTTGCGAATATGTGCGGACAAGATGCATGCTGCCAGCCACTGGGTCCCAACACCTGGCGGCCATGGACAGCTAGACAGCTAGTAAGCTAGTCTACGAGTACCGAGGCATCTCTCGCTTTTCTTGCTACAAAACTGGTGCCCAGGCACGGATCATGCTGGTGTGCAGCTTGGTTCCTCCCTTGACAGCCGCCGTTGCCGCCATCACCGCTACCAGGAAGTTCAGGACCGTCTTGGTGAAGACGTCGTTGAGAACTCCCATCTGAGTTGGACGTCTTGTAAAGGCTGACCAAAGCTGACTACTATGGCTATGCACCTGTTTCCCACTGTGGCCACGAGAATCTGCGGCGTGCATTGTAAGGGCGCTGCCGTCACGGCGCTGACGGGATCATCAGGGCATCGGGAGCATAGCTCAGGATAGTCGTCTCTGGCCCAGCCATCCGGGCACTCGCCACACAACATGCCAGTAGATCCTGCCGGAACAAAGCACGTGTATTCAAGGAGGACGACCTCCGAGACTCACTGTCCGATGTTCGTGCCTGCAGAGCAGTTGTTTAGCGTACCTTAGCTCAAATGGAAGCAACACGATCGTCTCCACAAAGGCTCTCGCTTTGGCGTCTTTGAGTAGCTCGTGGAACTAGATGCATTAAAGGTGCCCGCTGCTCCGTGGCAGGTTTCTGAAACTGGAAGGCCGATCCGCTCCGCGGCACAGGCCTCGCCACCTCCACATGCAGAGACCTCCTCCACCACCAAAACATCGCAAGCGACTGCTGATGTTGCGCCAGTTTGGTAGAAACCTTTCCTTGCGTGCATAACATCGCGAAACATTGCCAAAACAATCAAGTGGACTCACATCTCACATGCCGAGAAGACGACATTATTATGAAACCTGTCAGGCAGCTCTGCCACTGGCTGTGCATGGACACGACGTGACTGGCTGCTTGAATTTGTGAGGTTGCCACCCTCAAAGCCACCGCGACAGATCAGGCCCGCGTAGTCGCAAGTTGCACATCTGGCCAGATTGCCCGTCGTTGCATCGGTCTTGGCATGAAAGCCGGGCTGGCAAAAGCAGTCGTCCAGACCTGAACTGCCTGGCTCGCTGTCAGCACTGGTGGGGCATGTCAGGGGGCACTCCCCATTGCCAATGTTCGGCTTGTACTTCCCGCGCTGGCAGGGTTGGCATAATGATTCATCTTGAACGGAATAGTAGCCAGCCTCACAGATACAATCTGCGATGGATCTGCCCACTGACGTCGTTGTAGAATTCCTCGGACATGGAATGGCCTCCCCGGTGCCAGGGCAATAGGACCCCAAGAAGCAGTCGACACATGCTCCGGTCTCATCTGCATAGAGGCCCACCTGGCAGGTCGTTACCATATGCCCAAAGCGAATTCCCCTCCCCCCAACCCGATCCCCCCAAGCGACCCCGTTTTGCAAGCCGCCTGGCACTGGCAGTCGTCCGGTGATGTTGCCCCCGTTGTCAAGGTAGACATGAGCTCCGGACACCGCGTGCAGGACACATCCCCCACAGCAGCCTCAAGAGCACACAAGGCTCCTGCAGAGCCCGGGCCTAGATTCGAATTTAGATTAGACTCTACACGCAGCGGGTGGCAAATGTTTTGACTGTGCGACAGCATGTTTTCCGCTTGACACACTTGACATACAGTTCAGTGTCAGGGCTCATTGCATGCTCTAGACGAAAAGAACAGGGTGCACGTGGACGCGACCTGCCTTGTATCCACCTTGTTCACACAATGTACAAGACATCGTGGCAGCACTGTAGCCGTAGCCAGGGCTGCATTCACAATCGTCTTCGCTCAGCACAGGCACTCCTGTAAGGGATAATGCCGAGCGCACACGTGCAAGCCGAGCTGAGGTGCTGAGCAACATAAGTAACATAACATAGCCTTAGCATCCCTGAAGGCTCGCGACAGCGAGTCCTGGCGGTACAGACCTCCGTGCCGGGCACTTAACTGTAGTTTGTGTGATCTCGGGGACGCTCTCGATCGCCAGACCGATACCAGCTGCACCGAGCGTCCTTCATGACATTGCTTGGCAGAGGGAAGGCGGGGAGGACGACGAGGTGGGACGGCAGGGTGGAGCAAAGGCGGTTTAGATGCGTCGAGACGTCCACGGCAGACGGACGACTCTCTGTCCAACAAAAAGCTTCATCAAACCCATAAACCCCCCACAGCATAGGCCCCCCACAGCAAGCCGTTCAAGAAACCACAAAAAACCTTTGCAACTCCCATCACAACTACATAAGCATCATCGTTCATGTTTCTGTGCCATGACATGCCATAATAGACGGTCATCAGTTCCAGGTTTGTTTAGGGGTTGTTTTGGACAAATGCCTCCGGCCAAGTTCCGTGAGAATATCGAGGAGTTGGTAGCTGGGTTTTGGGGCTTATCGACTGAGCCTTCGCCAAAAGGCCACACTTATTCAGTGTGGATTTTCTGTCGGAATTTGCAGGCTTTATAGCCTGCATTTGGAGCGGAAAAGTCTAAAGAATCACAACGGAACTCTCAGAAACTTCGATCTGCGCGAGAAAATTGGCTCCCGCATCGCAGGCCCGGAACATGCACAGCACCCACAAATCGAGAAGTGTACGAAGTTGGGGCGACGGTTAATCCAAAGCGCCCGGCCCATTGAAAGTGCAAGACAGGAGAAAAGAGTAGAGCAACGGCGAGGGTGGACGAAGAGAGTGATCAACACAGCACCATCGAAGCATGCTAGGGGCTAGGGGCAATTGGCTCAAAAAACGACCACTCAAAGGAAAACAGTTGCCGGGAGAGCCGAACTTCGGATGCTGGTCCACGGCATCCTCCAGCTCTTTGGAGATCAAGTCGACCTGTTGTGCACTGAAAGCTGCAAGTGCAGTCTGCCGTCAACAAAGCAGTTCTGCCAAGGAGCATCCATGTCTTGGAGAGTCAAGCTGGCTTCTTCTGCTGTGCGCTGCTTGATGGTGATGAGCACCGTAGAAGTTGCTTGAAGCCGGCGAGCGCTTGAATTGCTCGAGTTGCTCGATACTTCGTCTATGATCTCCTTTCGGACAACAGTTCGTGCAGAATCGTTGTGCTCGCATCTCAAGCGACATTTGCATGCAAGCCATTGATGTTCAGGCAAGGCACAATCACGATAGCAGTGGGGTCGACCCGAGTTGAAGCTGACAAGGTTGAAATGAACGTTGCCTTGCCCACACCGCCCTAGTAACGTGAACACCAATCTGAACTTCTTTTGTCTGCCAAGCTGCTTTTAGCTGATTCTTCAGCGTCTGCTCGTCTCCGTCGGATGATAGTCGTGACATTGACATTGTGAATGAAACCGCAGGCACAGCTGATTCGTTTTTGAGAACCAGTTCAACCGGTGGTGAAGGGCCTGGTGTTACTGTCACATTAGGAGCTTCCGAAGCATTGCTCACATTGCTCTCGTTGCTCTGGTTCGAAGTGACTGGTGACTCGCCCGGGTTCGGATCTGCCGTGTCTGTCGTGGGGATGGCACAGAAGGATTCGGACCTGGAGCCGGTACCAAAGGTTGTAAAACCTGCAGGGCACGGAACGCAAGGATCCTCGTTCCCGGCCACACTCTTGTACGAGCCCTCGCTGCAAGGAGCGCAGCCCGTTGGCTCGAGTCCATATCCTCGATCACAGACGCAAGCTGCCAGGGAAACCTGGGTGCAAAGCATGAGCAGTCTTTGCGGAATCCCCCCCCGAAACAAATTGAGATCCTGCATGACAACACCTGCTGTAGTCAAGCAACGGATCCCAATTCAAGTGTCGTTTCCCCGGAGGCACAAGGCACCCTTGTCGCCAGTTCTGGCCGCCCTCCACCGCAGTAGTAGCCCCGAGTGCATTGCTCACATATTCGACCTGGCCACGCTTTCACTCTGCCTCCTAACACTACGAAAACCAGCGGCTGCACGGCTGCACGACGACGGATGCATGCTTTTAAGACCGACGGCCAGCCTCCAACTGGTCCAATGGCATAGCTACCTGGCGGACAGTCAACTCGTAGAATACCACCTTCGGCTCGGAAAACCGAGGAGTCTCCACAGGCACCCGTTGCAGGACACCAACAGATGCTGTAGGCCCCCGCCATGGCCCCTTGAGGCAGCTCACCGAGGCCGGCTTCCAGCCCAGAGCTCCCATCGATGACCACCACCGAGCTCTCCAGCTTTGGGAAACCTCGCACGCCCATCCCTGGAGTCTGCCCGCAATCGCCGTAAGCGATCAAGACCTGGTCCCCAGCAAGCAAGCCAATGCCGGAGAGCAGCAGCGTGCAGTTGCTGCCCGTGTTGCAGACGGCAACCTGCTCGAAAGGCCCGCTTGCTGTCATGAGGCCCACTTTCGCCTGGAAGCTGCTTGGTGCCTCACATGGTTCACCCGCATCGGGCCAAGGCCTGCAAAAGCAAAGACGGAAAATTCCGGGCGTCGAGAGTAGAACATCACTGCCGTTTCCAATGAAGGCAAAATCCCGCGAGTTGTTTGTCTCCATAATGCCGCCGCCAGGAAATCCGGGCAGAGCAATGCCTCGGCCGCAGTCTGAGAGAACCATCAGACGATCTCCGGCTTCTAGAAGGGCACCCTCGATCCCAGACACTGAGCATGGCTGCCCGACAGAGCAACCGCTCTCCTGATTGGTTCTCGGGCCGACCACACTCAAACGGCCAGCATACACATTGAAATCTTCCGGAGAAGTGCATGCATCTGCTGCCCCTCGTTCGCTCGCACACCAGCAGAGCAAATAACCGGCCAGGTTTGCATCAATCGAGAGATAGTAGCTGCTTTGACTATCAGAGATCCCAAAGCCCAGGTCCAGTGTGGTGACCGCACGGTCTCGCTGCAGGTTGCTCAGACTGCCGAGCCCTTCAGAGTTGGAGTTCGAGATTTCTGTAACTGCAGTGGTGCCACATGCATCTCGCCTTACGGACACGAGGTCTGTCAAAGCCAGCTCAAAGCCGGAGAAGGGAGACAAGCCAACGCAGTCGCGACCTCGCACACACTGAAATAAATTTTCTGATGGGCCAGCAACAAGAAGTCGTCCGGCTTGCGTAAGAAAGTTGGCATTCAAATCCGTGCACACCAGGCCTTGCATGTTGGCACACCAGCACATATTGTAGAAGCCACCTGTTGGCGTGAAATCCAACGGCTCGTCGCCCCACCCGTAGCCTCTACCTGTGTCCGAGACCTTGGAAATCCCATCGTTCTCTATACCTTCTACTGACACCTTCGCGGTTTTGCAATCTGTAGACGCAATACCTATGCGATGACCCGCCCTGATGCCATAGCCATCGAGATCATCCACAGAACACACTCGGCCTGAAACGCAGTCGCGGTCTTGGCCAGGATATGGGCGCACGCATGCTGTGAGGTTAGTTGATCCACTCTGTTCCGTGGTTGTTCCCTCCGGACATATGCGGCAGGTGGCATCGGCATCAGCACCGGTGGCATTGCTCCAGGTGCCAATACCACAGAACAAACAGGACTCCAGAGAAGTTGCACCGTAATTCTGAGAATAACGACCAGCTGGGCAGCCCTCGCACGCTGCAGCCCCTTGCGATGAAAATCGTCCAGGACTGCAGTCGTCACATTGGCTGCTGCCTTCTTCCGAATACTTCCCAGCATCACAGTCCGCACAAGGCGCATTGCCGATATCTCCCTTGAATCGGCCCGCCTTGCACAGGTCACACTGCTCCGTTGTTTCATTGAGGTACGTTCCATCTGAACACAGGCACTCATCCTCAGCACCTGCCGTTTTGGTGTCTGTTGTCCGCGACTCACTGCATGCCTGCCGATGACTTCCCCCGAAGCAAAAATGGCCATCCCCACATTCAATGCATCTGCCGGGAGGCTTAGGGTCGACATGATACCCAGCTGAGCACGTGCAAGCAGCTAGGGTGACGGCGCCCTGCTGCAATGTGGTGAGCGGGACATCGCCAGGCGGACAAGCCTCGCAGCTCGTATCTCCCACTGAGGTTTTGAAGTAACCCTGCGGGCAGCTGGTGCAACCTGCGAGGATCCCAGTGCTCCCATCAGATGGCTGCAGCCCATGTGGGCACTTGCAATCATCCAGGCTGGTTGCATGCGTCCCAGGCTCAAAGCCTAAACCATCTGGGCACTGCAAGATTGAAGGCCAGATGTCTCCAAGCTGTGTAATGTTGGCGGATGCAAGTGCCGTGGTGCTCATCTCCGTGTAGATCCAGGCCGCGAAGGGTGAAGCCTCAAGCTTCCCCTGCATTTCTGCTGCGAGCTCAAGGTCCGAGCTGAGAATCTCAAAGTCCAGACGCCAGTCGAGCACAGAAGCCACTTCCAGAGTAAAGGAAGCACGGGAGCCCGAGCCGAGCTCAAGGCGCTCCGTGATCTTTTCACTGATCTCATCTAGCAAGGCCTGGGTTGAAGCATCCGCTACAGTCAGGGACCCATTCAAGGAATATACTGGTACCTGACTCGATGCAAAGAGAGCTGATCCGTTCATGGAGACCTCAGATAGAATGCCTAGGCTTGTGCACTGAAATTCTGTCTGCCGGCTGTCAATGTCAACAGCGTCATTCTCGCAGAAGCACTCCAACCTACTTATTGCACCAGTTGCGGATGTCGTTTGAGGTGGGCAGCTACCCGTGCACTCACGGAGCCTGTCGACCGAATTCTTGAATGTCCCTGCAGGGCAGGCCATGCAGGCACCAACGGCCTCAGCCAAGAAATAGCCCCGCCTGCACTGGCAGTCGTCCACCGATTCCGCTTTGGCAGCGGAAGTGCTTCCTGCAGGGCAGGAAACCTTCGACTTGCCCCAACCGCCTGGGCAGTAGTACCCTGGAGGGCACAGCTGGCAGGTTTTTGAAGCACCCACCAATTCATAATAGCCCGGTGGACACACCAGGTAGAGTGTGATTCCAGCGGCCCCGAAATGCCAATTCTGAGTGCAAGGCTCAATGGAAGGATCACCAGTCTGCGACCGCATGGAGCACCAACAAAGCTCCACGATCTCTGGCACCGCATCGTTTCCTATGTGAAGCTCTCCGAGATTCAGAACAGGGGCCCCGTCTTTTTGCGAGACGTAGATGGGGCTGACCGGAGGAGGGAAGTTGGCCGCCGCAGTCAGCTTGTCACAAGCGGTCATGGGCACGACCGGATCCTTCGCCGACAAGCTGACTCCCCGAAAGCCGGGAACGATGCATTCCGACCCCAGCATGCACTCGGCCGTCTGACCGGAGTAAGGTCCGGTGGCCAAAAAGAGCCCTATGGTTGTTGTGAAGTCACTTGCCTTGTTACAAGCTAATCCAGATGCTGCTTCGGGACGACACCAGCACATTTGGTAAATTCCTGGCTCGGTGCTTAAGCTACCTCCGTGGAAGATAAACACCAAGCCATTTTCAGAGGCATCTGCATAGCCTGGAGAAGGAAAGCCTGTAATGAAGCTATCATCATCGCCACATTTCGGCAGAGCTGTGAGGCGATCTCCATCTTGGAGGTTTTGGCCTTGAAGGTCCAGAAGTATCCAGCACGTCTGCCCCAGAAAGCATTCCACCTCTGCGCCAGGATTTGGGCCGTCCAAGCTCAGGGTCGCAGCCTGCGTCTCCAAGTAGACATCGCTGTCGCTGTCCACCCGCAAGTCCATAGTGCTGCAAGGCGTGCCTTTGGAAGAACACCAACACAGCGTGTATGCGCCTGGTGCGTCGTAGACGGTGTAATTAAGCCCGAAGTCTAGGTCTACTTCTCCGGGCACATCAGACGGCACGGCGGAGATTTGGAATGGCACCCCTGTGAATCTCCTGGCCCCATCCACAGTGCAGTCAGCTCGCAGGTTTAGTGTGTCATCTTGTGTCAAACCCACACCTCGCAATCGGCCCGCGTTGCAGACTCTGCCTCGAACGCAGGAGAAGAACTGACCTTGGAAGGGCCCAGCCACAGCCATGGTCCCCACCTCAAAGTCGTACATCACGTCTCGAATACATCGGAGATACTGAGGGATGTTGAATCCCTGAAAACCAACACCACCACACCAGCACAGCTTGTAATTACCAGGCTCTGCTGTGATCTTGTCTGGCCAAGCAACCGAAAAGTTCGAGGCGATCCAAACCCTGGAAGACCCGAAGCCATTCACGACGCTTCCTGACTGCAGCCTCCGAAACCCGCCGTAGCCGCTGCCGTAGCCGCCAGGGGGGCCAAACCCGCCACTCCCACCGTAGCCAGAAAATCCACCGCCAAACCCACCACTCCCGTAGCCACTAAACCCACCAGGTGCACCCCCATAGCCCCCAAACCCGCCATAGCCGCCATTCGACCCATAACTGTATCCTCCTCCCATCTGATCAAAAAACATGCTGAGATCATTAAGAATATCCTCCAGCTCGGTCGGATCTGGCTCGCACGTATCGACCTTAACATTCACCGCGTGCACGCTGGTGTCCAGGAGCCCTGGCCCCTCAGCGAAGACAAACGAGCATGTCTTGCCCGCTATGCATTCCACCGACTGATTCGTGCCAGGCTGAATACAGGAATCAGCAGTAACAGCGCCGGTAGATTGAGTTTGTCCGCCTGGGCACGGGGTGCATGCTGACGATTCGTTTGCACCAGTACCACTGAAGTACCGCCCAGCCGGGCAGGCTTGGCAGGACCCTCGGCCTGGATTGGCAGTGTATCGGCCAGGAGGACACTCCGTGCAAGTTTCAGCAGTAGAGTTGGGGTTGTACTTGCCCGGCTCGCACGGTTCACACTTCTCCTGACTTTCTGCCCGGCTTTGGCCTCGCCCGCAGGGATTGCAATATTCTTGGCCTGGGTCGGCATATGTTCCAACCGGGCACGCTTCGCAAGCTGTGCGATCGGAGGTCGGCTTCGTTCCACCAGTACATTCGATGCATGTTGTGCTAGCATTTGGGGCATACAGTCCCCACCAGCAGTCGTGACAAAACATCTCGCCTGCCATGGCATATTTCCCTGCAGGACAGGGCTGGCAGGCTGTGCGATCCGTCTTTGGGACATAGCCTCCAGGGCAGTACTCGCAGTTTGCGCTGCCTGCAGAAGATACCTGATCGTACCAGCACTGACTACAACTTTCAGAATATTCACTCGAAAATGTTCCTGCTGCACATTGGTCGCATCTGCTGCTGGCCTGCGTTCCAGAAAATCTCCCTGCAGGGCAAGCTTGGCACAGTTCTCCGCCTCTTGAAAACTCCCCATACCAGCAATCATAGCAAGGATATCCATAGTAACTAGCTTTACCAGCTGGGCAATCGATACATTCCGAAAGATTCGCTTCGTACCGCCCGTTTGCACACTGCGTGCACTCGGAGGAGCCTTCAGGAGCCACTGTTCCAGTCATGCACTGGTAGCAGAAGAAACCCTCGTCGCTATAGTATCCGGCTTGGCACTTCTCACACAGCGTCCTGTCACTTGATGGCTGAAACCCGGGGTTGCACGCGCCACATACGATTGTTCCTGGGTGTGTTGCCACGCCAGATACACAAAAGTCGCAGAACAAACTTCCTGGCGAGGAAGTATGCTCTCCTGGCTGGCATTCCGCGCAACTCGCTGCTGCGACTTGGTTCGAGGCTCGGCCAGGAGGACATTGAGTACAGAAGTGAGCATGTGCATGAAGCTGCCACAGCTGGCCATCATCAGCCAAATAAGTCCCCTCCGGACAGTCTGTGCAATCCACTTGACCTTGACTGTCAGCATACCTTCCTGCCGGACAAACGGTGCAAACTCCGTTGTCCCAGAAGGTGCCATAATCACCTTGCGGCTACAAGATTGAGACATGTTCTTGTCGCGTCCTTGCTAAAATGGCATGCACAAACTCGGCGCACAATGCTGAGCTCCCGGCAAATAACGCACCTGTCACAGCTTACACTGTAATTCACTGTACAGGGATGACGCCATAGCTCCCCAAGAAAAACATCCCGAAACAGCCCTCGTAGCATCGAAGGAGGGACGCATTGCCGGCCAAACTCGCGAACATAGAACATGCAGTCAATGCTGCTTTCCATGTGCGTTCAAACGGACTGCGATGTGGCGGATGTGTACTTGCATCTCAGCTGTGCCCGTCCCCTTCCCTGCAGCCGATTTTGACAGCTGGAAACCGTTCACATTCGGCCTTACATGGCCCAAACATTGTGGGGTGTGTTGTGGTTGTGCTCTTCTCTGCGACAGGCACGCCGACCACTTCGCCTTGAAGATTGTCCTTCCCAGATGGCAAAGCACACCTACAACTTAGTCTGCACAAATCGGAGACCTTGCTGTTGACCGACCATACAGTCGGATGTCCCCGAAGCGCCCTCCACCCCTGCAGACACCAGGTTTCGAGCCGGCTTGGTCTGGAGAAGCCTTCCCAGCTTTTCCAAAAGGGGAGTTGATGCATGGCCATCCAGATACTTTTCGAGGGCTTGGGGCGACTTCTCGGGCCTTTTGGATATCGCTGTTTGTTGGTCGACGTTTGCTTCGCGGATGGGTTCTGTCTGGCACCCGGGGCGCATTCTAGGTCTTGCTGTCCGGCTGTGCGCATGGATTCCCGGGGTTTGGTTCTGGGAATGCTTCGACAAGCAACATTGCCGATTCAGCTCGGCGGTTCTTCTGGGTGTTTGAGGATGCTTCGAGGAGCAGCCGTTGCTTGAATCGGTTCGCCGACTGATTTCACTACGACTGCAACCACTCGTAATTCTTCTAATAAAGAATAACTAATACTAGCACCACCACTACCGCCACCACGACACACCACCACATCCTCAACCACTTCCCCCATCACATCCCCCACAAGCTGCACCTCCCAGCAAACCTTGTCCGTCAGTTGCTGACTACTACCACCACCATCCACCACCACTACTACCATACCGGCTATGCCCTTACCCGGGTTTTGAGCGCTTACACTCGGATTCTCTGGCCGTTAGGCCAGTCTAGGCAGGGCATGTGTCCATAGTTCTATTGACGAACGACAGGAACCGCAAGCTTCGGTCAGGTTTTCTTGCTCTGGGGTGTAACGTGCTTGGCGCGGGCGCGCTTCACGCCGTTAAATCAGAAAACGGACGGATCGAGACAAGCGGCGGTGGGAACCTGGAACCGAGAATGCGGATGCCTAATGGCGGCCTTCGTACTTGTGGCAGGCCGAGTTGCATTACTATCATGTTCTTGGTTCTTGCGTCTTCTTCGCTCCCGGCTGCTAGTCTAATGTCTGCTGTGCTGGCAAGCATGCCAGACTGAAGGGCAGCTCCTCTTCCAAGGTGAAACCATTTAGCTGTATTTCTTGATAGGCCTTCCGAACAGCATGCTGTTGCTTGGTGGCCCCCGTAGCAAGCAAACATATCGATGCACAGCGGGGCCACTCAATGCAGGCAAGAGCACGCAGGAGGGACGGCGCTAGCGTCCAGCCCATATCCAGGCCTTAGAACTCGTCGTGCCAGAGTTACACCCTTGCGGGTCAGGGTCATGTTGGGCCGAGGCCCTAGTTGAGAGCACAAGATTCGGTGTTCTCAGGGTGGGACGTCGTGCATGTCAGGCACGACACGGACCAGAGCTGTCCGAAGACAAGCACCAGCGTAAGAAACATTGGTATTCACATTGGATGTGGACAGATCGGAGTCCACATCTTTCTCACATCACACATGGGCTGTTCGGCTTGAGCCACACAGCCTTGGTTCAAGGGACACAAGCATGATTGAGAGTGCTACGAGTAGGCAGTCGCATGTTCTTACGAACGCATGCGGGGATTTCCAACCCTCCATCCTCCGTTATTTCATGTGCCGAGCAGAACCCGTTCTTCAAAACTTGCTTGTTTTCTTCCTGAATGTGTGGCCTCGAGCTCGGAATACGGCAATCGTTGCTGTGCATTAGCACGACAGCAACATCCCAAAAAAGCAAGCTCGGAAAGCCAGGCGGCTTCTGCACTGCGGCAGCACCGGAACATTAGCAACATCAGGTGGGCCGTCTGTTGCGGCTGTCAAATTTTGGAAAGGCACGGCAGCAGGCAAGCTGAGAGCCTTGCGCTGGGGGTGCTCTCTCCGACTACAGAACTATGAACAATGCCAGCAGAGGCAGGCCTGTGTGTGGGCGAATCCTCATAAAGGCGACATGGCTCTTCTCATGAGTCTTGCGAGCTGGACAAAGTAAGGGCCCGCCCACACTCTACAATGCTGTCTGATTGGACGCATCAATCGTCATAGGAACCTGAGAATTTCCGCACATCGTTGGAGATTTGTTGCGTGTGCCAGAAAACCCTCCGACGTCCTGCAATCTTGCGTCACGGATCGAACTGACACAATTGAGCCCACTTCCGACCAGCCAAAGTGCTGCCAGGAGGCTACTGATTTCACTTCTGTGTCCGGAAACGGCGACACGGAGCGCTGGCGCTCCTCCCATCCCGCGGTGACCATGAGAAGAAACAAGGATAGTCTGACGCAAGTCACTCACGGTGCACAGCCAGTTCATGACTGTGCTTTGCAAGCTCAACTCACGCGGAAGAACTGGCACAAATCCCAAATCCGTGCGAGAACCGAAGCCCGAAGACTTTCCCTTTCGGCCTCCGCAGGGGAGGGGGACCGGCTCCGGCCCGATGATGCAAGTGCGGAAGGTTTCTCCGCCTGCTCAGCGTCAAATTCTGTCTACAATCACCTCGTTAGATTCAGTAAACGACGAGCCAAGAACACATTCATGCCAGCATAAGTGCACGAGGCCTTGGCATCCAGGAGTTCGGATCCTGCTCAAGGTCACGATTCGGAGAGCAACTATTGCGAGCCCTCACAATCACACGAATACTTCACATGCCTGCTTCCGCCCCTGGAGCCGGCTCTTGTACCCGAGCGATTTCAAGAACATCTCTGGCATCATGTGAACGCTTCATTCCGCTCATTTTGGTCTGTGCGGCCTGTCATCAAAGTCGCGTCAGAAGCGTGAAACAATCGCCTATGCGTTTTGCAGCCAAAGCGCCCTTTCTGCCATTTTGACATGTCGCCGTGGAACCAATTGAACCTCGGCTGCCAGACGTTGAATTACACACACACTCTCTCTCTCTCTCTCTCGTGCTTGCTTGCTTGCTTGCAGGGCATGTGGAGATTAGGGGTGACACCCCTAACCCCCTGCGCGCGAGCGCTAGGCCAAGGTCCGTCAGTCTGTTCGGGGTGACACACGGGAGGGACTCAGGTAGCTGTCGGAGAGGGCGGGACACACACACACTCTCTCTCTCTCTCTCTCTTGCTTGCTTGCTTGCAAAGCGTATGGGGCATGGGGTCGGCCCCCATAACCCCTGCGCGCGAGCGCTACGCCTGAGTCTGTGTTCGGTGTGAAACTGGTTGAGCAAACTAGCGATTGGCCTCGGCAACCTCTCTCTCTCGCTCGCTCGCTCGATGCTGGGGTTGAGTCTGCGAGCAGACCCGGGCCTAAGCCCCCCCCTCTCTCTCTCTCTCTCTCTCTCGCTCTCTCTCTCTCTCTCTCTCTCTCTCTCTCTTGCTTGCTTGCACCGCGTTTAGGGTGTAGCTCTCTCGCAACGCTGAGGTTCCCCGATGTGAAACTTCCCAACCTTGTACCCCCGCCTGCTTCAAGGTGTCCCTCTCTGTTTCTTTCTTTCGCCAGGCTTGAGGGCAAGCCCCCACCCAGAGGGCCGCCCCTGTTGTCGGCGCGCGCGGTATTTCGTGCAAGAGGCTAGCGTTACCGACATCGCACTTCGTCTCAGGAGAACTGTAGGCCCCAGTGTCATATAAGGACTCAGCAGCTGCCGGTAACCACTCGAGCAACAGTCTCACGGACGGGTCTTCCGCCCCGAAGCCCCAAGCAACCACACACTGTTCTGGTACAGTACAATAACTCTTCATGGGCACTCCGACTGAGGCTGGCTCACTGTGCTAGGTGCACAAACTGTGCTCTCTGTTTCTCTCTCTCTCTCTCTCTCCCTCTCCTTGCTTTGCTTGGGGCTTGGGGCGGGAGCAGTCCTCCGGTCCCGAGCTGCTTTTGAATGAATGGGCTCGGTCTTTACTCTCTCTTTGCTTTGCTAGGGGTGTGAGGCGGGTGCAGTCCACCCGCCCCGCGCCAGTGCGCTACCCCATCCACTATTTTCTGTGGACGGGCTCGGCTGTACACAGAAGGTGCCCTAGTGGGCTTGGTGGCGAGCGGGTGCCCTCGTGTGGAGAAACAACGAGTAGAAAAGAGTCGGGCCCCCACGCCGCCTGTAGTGTACCTACGTGTGGGTTCCCCGGCTTGTTCCTCAGAAACAAACAAAAAGGCCGTAGCTGTAAGTAGACAGTTTGCCGCGGGTACCCCTAAACTCGTGTGCCCCTGCCTTTGGACCTGTGTCCCACCTAACGAACCCCGCCTCATCCCGAACTGAAGCCTTAACCCAGCACAGCACTGCCTGCGACCTTCCGCTCGACCCTGAACCTTGTGAGAAGTCACCGTGTGCCCCCTTCGCGGTGTGTGTGAAGCAAGGCAGGGTGTTTTGGAAGGGTAGACACACGTAGCAGTGAGACATGTGGGTCACCCGAACGTGAGGTGCACCTTTGTTGGGTACCGGAAGAAAAGGAAGTTAGGTACAACAGAACAGCCACGGGTGCCCTCTGTTCTTTGGGTTCCCCACTCGCGCTACAGTCAAACCACACCTACCTGCCTGACCCTGCCTGATCCCGAACTCAAGCCTTATCCCGCACTGCCTCCGACCTTCCGCTCAACCCTGCACCTCTACTTTCTGTCTCAGGCCGAAAAGGAAGTGCCCCAGTCGTGCGAAAGAGGTAGCCTTAATAACAAGTATGCCTGGTCACGAAAAGAGGGTGCACACGGTTGGGGTTACTTAGTCGTCGGCCATGACAGCATGCATTCTACGCCGACGGTGACTGGTCTCACTGGGCTCACTCAGGTCTTCTGGCGGGTGCCCCAACGCTGCGGAGGTGGTGCGCCCGGGTCGCCTTCTTCGTCGGGTTCTCCATGAGCCGGCGAGGGCGTGTGCCACGGCAGTGTAGCGCTGTCCAGGTCGTCTTGAGTTGCCCCTGCGGTGGCGTAAGGGGCGGTCGCCGGCAGGGGTGGTGCACCGAGAGAAGCGGTCGTTGTGCTTCCTGGACCTGGTTCTCCTGTCCCTCGTGGTAGTTCTGGTTCGTGTAGTAGGGCTCCGGGTGGGTCTCGTGCTTGTTCGCCTCCGCGTTGTGCTTGGTGTTCTCGGTGTCCAGCAGGTAGTGGAACAGTTGGCTGGTGCACTGCTGTCGTAGTTGCTTCGGAGCCTTCACTGTCCGTGACGACGAGTTGGACTGGTGCCCCAAAGAACTGTGTGGTCCATTGCTGCAGGTCCACAACAGCGGCTTGCACCATTTCGTGCATCTGTCCATGTAGGAAGGGTTGTAGGCGTCGTAGAATGTGTAGAGCTCGGAGAGGGAGTTCGGGGCGCTGGTCCCCCACCATTGGTTGGCCTGGTGCACACCCGCTGTGTGCCAGTACGTCTGCTTGGTGAGGTTCGGCTCGTCGAGCTCGCTTTGGTGGTGGGCCGGAGCACAGGTGCTCCGTTCTCTCCAGGTGTTCCTCTGTCTCACCTGGCGTGCCCCAGGCCTCCTCGTGTGCTGCAGCAGCTTCTTGACAAAGGTGTACGACCCTGTCGAGGTTGTCATAGAAGTGGTGTGGTAGGGCGTGTTGCCCTGTCGTAGCCGTGATCACGTTGTGCATCAACTCCTCCGCTCTCTCTGCCAGGTCCTCTCCACGGTGGACGTTGGCCCAGCAACGCGCTGTCGCCTGGCTGTAAAAACGCCGGGTGCCTTCCAGCAGGAGGCGGTAAACCTCGTGTAAGTCTCTGACTGTATCTTGGACTGGGTTGTGTGCCCCGGTGGCCTCGATGGCAGAGAGCATGTCCAGCTGTAGTTGGAGCATGTGGGCCGCCACGCGGTGGACATTGGGTGGTGGTGGTGCTCTGTGGTATTGGACTTGTAGTGGCTGTGGTGGTGGGTCGGAGCTGCTGCCCGCTGTGGGCGTGTGCTCGGCCTGCATCGCTGTCGGCTGTAGCGCTATGATCCCTTGCTGTGCGTGTGCCATGACCTCGCCGGAGTCGGTGCTGTCCAAGATGCGCAGTAGGCATCTGCGCGCTTCTGCCATGGCTGTGGCTGCTTCCGTTGCCGTTGGTGCACGGTATCTCGTGATGCTTCTCTGCATGAGCTCGGTGCGGTCGGTGTTGTCGTGGTTGTGGTGTTTGTCGTGGCTGGGCCAGGAGTGTTCGCTCTGGTCTCCGGAGTCTGTGGTGGTGTCTGCTGGGGCGCGTGCTCCTAGGTCGCTCGATCGGTGGATGCCTGGTGGTGGAGCTTTGGATTTGTGTGGGACGGCCTGTCCCTGCTGTGGCTGTGGCGGTGGTTGCTGTGGTTGTTGTTGAGGTGGTGTCTCGGCTGAGTGCTGGGGTGGTGGCTCTGGTTTGTGGTCGTCTTGGGTGTGCTCCTGGGCTTGGGCTGGTGCTCCTCCTCCTTCGGCTGCTGCGCCGCTGCTGCTGCTGGGTTCCTCACTAGGTGAGGCAGGTATCTCTATGGAGTACCCGCCGAATTGTGTGAGGTAAGCATCGCGCCATGGATGCCATTGCCACTCCTGCTCCAAAGCAAC